CTCCCCAAATCTACCACACACACACACACCTCATTCCAGTACACACGCATACCCACACTAACATACACACTGCACCACACCCCACACACTACCAAACATAGAAACACGCCACCTCCTCACACACAATCACTTTCTCGGTGACCTCCTGCTTGAACCGTTTGCTGGGTCCAATCGGGGTCAGTTTGGTTTGAAACAGCTCAAGCCCAGCTTCCCAAACCGCAGGAATTATTTCGATTGTGGACCTGCAGCGCTGGCTCTGTTTTGCCGCCCACTCGGCCCCATCCACTTCCTCGGGGCTTGTCCTTCTTAACATCACCTCACTGAACTGCCCTTAAACTATCATTTCAGCAAACAGGTGTACCTTCTGCACCGCCACCTCTGGCGGGTGGCGATTCATAGAGTCCCTACAGTGTGGAAACAGGCCCTTCGGCCCAACAAGTCCACACCGACCCTAGGAGCATCCCACCCAAGACCCGTACCCCTATAACCCACCTAATCTACACCTCCCTAAACACTACGGGCAATTTAGCATGGCCAATCCACCTAACCTGCACATCTTTGGACTGTGGGAGGAAACCGGAGCACCCGGAGGAAACTCATGCAGACACGTGAAGAACGTGCAAACTCCATACAGACTGTCACCCGAGGCTGGAATTTAACCCCGGTCCGTGGTGTTGTGAGGCAACAGTGCTAACCACTGAGCCACCGTCCTGCCCCTGAATTCTCCCTGAGAGAGTGACTCCTTACAGTGGAGAGGGCTGGGGCGGATTCAGGTTTTGTTTTGTGGGGAGGGGGGGACGTGGTGGAGAGAAAAGAAAGTAGTCTCTAATTGATTGCACCGATTCATAAGGGCCCTGTCAAACAGCATGGGCCTATTTATTTGCATCAGTCCAGCCTTCAACCAGCTGATAGTTCGGTTCGCTCACGTCCAGCTTATGATGGTGACACATCGTTATGAATCCAAATGGGTGAAGAGTAATTGCCCGGCTGGCGAACTAGTGAGAGGGTAAAGAACTATTTCTAAACACTGATCCGCAACTCGCTGCCTCAAAGGCTAACTCTCCAAAAGGCAGTTGGTAAATACTGGGGTTGGGAGGGAGGGGTGGAGTGGGGAGATCATTGTGCAAGCGCTGTTGGGGGAAAGGACGGGGATTGCGGTGGTTGGCTTGCTGTAAAGGGCCAGCACGGGAGCGACGGGCCGTTTGGCGTCCTCTCCTTGCGCTTTTGTTGCCGGGCAGGGTTGATAAAGACGTACCATTGACTGGACATAAACGCGAAGGCGCGTTGTTCAGAACAAAAGGGGGAAGGGCAAGGGTTGGGGCAACAGACTTTTAAATGTGCAAACTTTCACCGCTTTGGTGGCGAAAGGGGGATCGGGCCACGAGACCAAAGCGCCAAGATTGTGGATAGCGAGATCCTTTCCAGAGCCGAGAGAGGAAAACTGAGATGTCTCAAAACAGCACTTGTACGAATGGCTAGTGACAAAACTGTCAACTCCCTGAATCCCACACATTGATAGCTCCGTTTGACCCATTCTGACGGATCACTCCGTGATCTGAATTACCGCCTGACTCCACCCCAGTCATTAGAGACCTGCACCAGAATCACACCCGCTAGATCACCAGGAAACTGGACACTTGGAGGGGGTAGGGGAAGGGCTTCAAATCCTGACAGTCCAGAGGTCAAAGAAGTTTAGAGCCTTTTATTCCTTAAAGTCTGCCTGGTTATTAAAGGCTGTCCGCTTCCTGGGAATAAAACACCCGGCGTTATTTGCTTTTTTGTTTTGGAGAAAAATAAAGTACGATTTTCAAACTTTTTTTTCGCTGCCTGCTAGTGACTTGCCTAGTTAGGTGTTTAGATCCAATCTGACAATTCAGTCCAGTCGATTATTTTTTTAAATTCCTGAGAGATTGCTTAAAGTGCCTGAGTAGAATTATCAAACCACGGATGGGGCGGGTGGTGCTTTTCTTAAAATATTTTTTGAAATGTCTTCATTATGTCCAGCATTTCTGGGCGTTTAGCAACAACCTCCCCTTTCACTCGCAAAGGCTTTCACAATCGGAGCTGGAAGAAACGATGATTAACCCCAAAACAGTGGATTCCGGCAATTCTTCGGGGTGGGGGGGGGGGGGGGGCGGCGCGGCAGTGAAGGTGACTCGCTCTCTTTCGCGTGATGGTACATTCCCCCCTCTCTTGGAATCTCTACTCCTCTTACTCTACAACACACTACTTCTTTTCCGTGTCTTTTGTTGCAAATCTCGACTTTCTCATTTGCTCGTTTTCTCCATTCTCACTTTCCTAGCCCGCTTACTCTGCGTTCTCATTCAATCTGCTTCGTTGTCTCCATCTTTTCACTATCTATTCCCACCCTCTTCTCTATCTCTTTATTTTCGTTCAGCCTGTTTTGTTTTAGACTCTCGATTCTCACCTTTCCCCTTTCTCCCTCCCTCCCCCGTCCACTTTAAAAAGTCTTCTCTGTCTCACACACATACACACACAATTTCCTTCTTCTTGCTGTCTTCTCTCACACACAGAGAAACTCTCTCATTCTTCCCTTCACAATCTTGCTGTTTTTATCTTTCTTTGGTTTTAACATCGCACACTCAGGATTCAATGGTGTTAAATCCTTTTGAATGGTTTCAGAGCGTTCATTCAGCAATTTCTCTGGCGGTTTATATATATATATTGATCCCCTCTTCTTTTTCTGGTTCTTCAGTGCAGGAGAAATACACGGTGTTGCATCTGCCTTGGAAGCCACACGAAACAGTGGCAGAGAGAAAAAGAGCAGCCCTTATCGATTTAATGCTATCACGTTAGTGAATAACTCGTTTACATAATTGCTGGGCACCGATTTCAAAGCTAGCCAGAGGCTGACTTAGAACCACATGGAGTCTATTCTACCCTTCAGTTAAAAAAAATGCAATGAATAAGAAAGTTTAACTTGTGGTCCGCGTCTCGCAAATTAGTGTGTCTGACGCCCAAACGATACACAACAAGCCCTTTGTAATCCCAATACCCCGGACACTAAGGCAATTCTTCTCTACCAGAGCCCGGCTGAATGGCGATTGCTTTGCCTTCTGCACCAAGTAAAATTAGCAAAATAAAATCTTACCACCCTCCCCCAAAGGCACACACGACACACGTCACACACACACACCGAGTGTGATAAAACCCACGACACCCAGAATGTAAATAAATAGTGGAATCTCCCTGACACCAGCTAACCTGATAATTCACTCGTGGTAGTAGGTGCATGGTGCAGTAAGTGGTCAAATCCTTGTCTGCTACGGTTTCGGGGCTGGAAACAGAGAATTAGATGAGGGCATTACCCCTCTGGGTTACTGCTGATTTGACGGAATGTGAGACCTTTTGTTTATATTTATGTCAGTACGAACGGTTTGGCATCATCCCCCACCCCGCCCCAGTTCGACAAGTTAATGGAGGGACGTGCAGAAATGTAGAAGCAGTTTCAACTCACAGAGAGATAGAGCTCCCAAGGACTTTTCGATCGATGGTGCCCATTAACAGCGATTTACGGTTATTGGCCATTCAACTCCACGCTCTTTTCCCAGTCCTGCAAGCTTTCAAACCAATTTCTGAGCTCTTAGCTTACTTCTGCGATGCATATTTAATGCAGAAACATACTTAATAAATAAAGTATATGAAGAGGTCATTTTATAAAACAAAAATATGTTATTGCTGATGTAGTTGCACCTGGACGGAGAGGTTTGTCTGCCAGTGTACCAGTCCCGGATCAGTGAGTGAGTCTGACTCTGATTATTTCCTCCAGATCTTCCCCCCCAAAACAGCCCCTGGATCATGGGCCGCAGACGCTGCGCTCCCGGAGCTCGGAGGGAGTTATAGTTTGTCCCAAAGATAGATGTGCACTCGGCTTCGAACTACAGATCTTGGCCGTTTAGCAGCCCACCATTACCGACCGAGGCATTTACTGTTAAAAAGTTTGCACGTGTTCGCCTGCAACATTTAAGCATAGACCAAACATCATTGTGTAGCATTCCATTACAAGAAATAACAGATAATTGTGTGCGCATATATGTAAATCAATGTAATTGCTTGCAAGGGACAACGAGGAGAAGCTCAAAGGAATGAGTCCAGAGAGCTAGCAGAGGCCGGGAAGGCCGAAAGGCCCGCGAAAGTTCATCGACCTGAAACTTCCACTGTGTTTCACTCCACATAAGCTGCGTGATCTTCTGAGATTTTTTTATTCGTTGGTTCAGAAACGTCCAGTTTCCGCGGTACAATGTTATCGTGTGTCGCTTGCTTGCGTGTACCATTCGGAAGGTACGCCTGAAAGATAAACAAGCACCTCAGTCACTATTTAAACAGCCACAGAAAAAGTTTCCAGTGGAATTATAACTTGAGAAGTGGGGGCGGGGTGCTGGTGAATGTTGCAGAGACAATGAGGAGAGTTTGGGGCGGAGTAGGTGGACATGCCTTGGGGGGGGCCTAACACAAGGTGTAGGGGAGGATGCTTTGGTGGGAGGGTCCGAGGGATATGAGGGGACGCCCCGCCCTACCCCTCCTGGCGCCGCCAATCCACGGGGAGGAGGGCGGGCCCACGTGACCCGGGAAAAGCTGCAAGTTTGGAAGAAAATGTGAATGAGAGGGAAAAGGCGAGCGGGATTTGAAGCTGGCGGTGTGAGCTGCTCTGTGGCCGGGAGGTAACCTCCTTCACACTGTCTGCATACCCTCTCTGCATCCCATCCCCAGCCCAGTTGCCCCAGATCTCCCTTAACCCACAACACCCTTCTCTCTCCCATCCCCTGTCTCTGCTTCAACCCCCATCCCAGGATCCAAAAGAGTGATGCTCTCCAGAGGAAATCGCCGCCTGGCTCTACCGGCGAGGAATTGAGTTGTAGCAGGAGTTGGCAGCATTTTTGCATTCCTCCTTCTCCCACATTCCCCCCCTTCCCTCCTCCCTTTTCCCACCACTCTTCTGTGAGCCTCCAAGGCCGGTGCCCACCTTTGAGGGCTTTTTTATGTGTGCCGACTCCAGCCCGCTCACTGTAATGCAGAGGCCGCTGGGGACCAGTACCGCCTTCAGCATAGACTCACTGATAGGCACCAACCCTGCTCCCAGCACCGGCCACTTCGTCTACACCGGCTACCCCATGTTCATGCCTTACCGGCCAGTGGTGCTGCCACCGCCGCCGCCTGCAGCTCTAGCCCAACCGTCTCTGCAACACAGCCTGCACGCCGTGCCCCCAGGCCAATCCCCCCACCCTCACTCTCACCCGGTCAGCAACCTCGCCGGCTCTATCTCCAACGGTTTCTGCACTAGCCTGGGCCAGGGTATGGCCGTCACTACCCTCATGGCCACTCTGCCGGGCACCGGGGAAGGCAGCCGCAGTTTCCCGTCCAACCAGCACCAGGAGCCGGCGAGGAAATTTCTGCAAGCCGCCCTGGGCAGCGGCCTCGACAAGGCGGAAAGCGGGCGGCAGCAGGACGGGGAGGAAGCTAAGGCGTTCCTGTGCAAGGACAGCTCGGCTATCTCCTTCCCTGCGACGGAGACGGTGCACGCAGTGATCGGTGAGTGAGTGAGAGTGGGAACAGGCTCACGCCACGGATCTGAGATGGGGAAAGGTGGGGGCATGTGTGTGTGTGTGTGTGTGTGTTTGGGGGTGGGGGACTGGGAATTGCTCAGGGTCAGGATTCAGCAAACCCACCCCCCTTCCTTCCCTCCCTCCCTCCCCATGTCTATGTTTATTTCCTCCCCTCCCCTTGCAAATTCCCGATGCCAACGCATTTTTTTAAAAAATTGTCTCTTTAAAGGAACCAAACTTGGGGATATGGGGAAATAAAAGGTTGCACGACGGCTGAGGGGTTTTGTTTAGTGCGTGTGGAAGGGGAGGCTGTGGGGTTGGGGTGGGGGGTGGAGAGAGAGGGAGGAGAACTACAAACACAAGCCGCCGCTGGTCATTCAGTCCTATACTGTCCAGGGGGCATCCGGAAAAGTCTTTTTTTCTCTCTCCCAAAACAAATGGAAATAAGGGACAATAATGGCCTTTGCAAGGGGAACGGGTCATCATTAACACATTAATTGCTTATAAGTTTAGTGTGTGTCGCAGTCACTGTCCCGCTCAGAAAATTCATTTTGAATCGTTGTATCAGTAAGTCTATATTATGTGAGCGAGTTCTAATTAATTCAAAAGATTTATCGCCTAGAGTTTAAACTCGCACGTAATGAAACTGAGTTTTTTTATAAGTTTTTTTTATAAATAATTAGCTGTAATCGCGTGTATCGTTGACCTTTGTTTTGGGATTTGAGAAATCTGTCACCTTTCCTCTTTCTCTCTCTCTCTGCCTCTCTCTCTCTGTCTTCTTCCCTCTATCCAGGTGCTGTCACCCCCGGCAGGGCTCAAGGGAAGGACGATTTGAAGGCAGCAGACGATGACTACCGGAGTAAGGAGGAGAGTTTCTCCATGGACAGTGATCTCGATTACAGCTCCGACGAGAACGGCGCGGCGCCGGCCCTTCACAAGGTAGAGGACGCGTGCCCGGGTCTGGTGGAGGAGAGCTCACACAGTCACGCCGCCACTCCGACCAACAACACGGCGGGGAACGGCAACAGCAGCAGCAGCAAAAACAGGAGGAGGAGAACGGCTTTCACCAGCGAGCAGCTCCTGGAGCTGGAGAAGGAGTTCCACTGTAAGAAATACCTGTCGCTCACCGAGAGGTCCCAGATCGCCCACTCCCTCAAACTCAGCGAGGTGCAGGTAAAAATCTGGTTCCAGAACAGGCGGGCCAAGTGGAAACGGGTGAAAGCTGGCAATGCCAACTCCAAATCCGGGGAACCGTCCAGGAATCCCAAGATTGTGGTTCCCATACCCGTGCACGTGAGCAGGTTTGCCATCAGGAGTCAGCACCAACAGTTGGAACAACCCAGACCTTAAAAAAAAGGAACTTTCAAACACTTTACAAGACTTATTTTTGAAAAAAAAAGACGCACACACAAAAGGACAAAACGATTTCTTTTTCTGAGTGAGAATCGAAGACTTGCCAATGGACAGACTTCCCTATTTATTATAAATGATTAAGTATACTCTGTTTGTATATAAGTACTGAGAGAGAAAAAATGCATCAGCTATATGCAGTATTTTGACTGTTTTGTGGACCAAAACTTTGTACAGTGAGAATTGCACAATGCTCAACATTCTGGAGAGAAGGGACCGCCATAACCTCACCATTTAGCTCAACTCAAAACATTGTTCTTTCACCCGTTTGCATTGTTCCATCAAATGCCAAAAGGTAAATTTCCGTAAAATATTGCTATTTAATACTTTATTTTTAAAACAAAAATCTGTAACCGCAGACCTTTCCATTGTGATAGATCTTTGTGGGATTTCCCCCCCCCCCATTCTATATAATACTTTCTGTTTGTTCCTAGCAGAATTTGCTTTCCAAATTGCGGCTCCTGTTTTCAACGAGAAGAGAAATGTGTGTGTGTATATGTACATATGTATAAGACGGATGGTGTTAATTTATTTTACGTTTTGTCTTTTGGGGAAAGAAATTGTGGCACATTTCTTACAAATGACGAAAATTCTCAAAAAAAGATCACGTAACAGATAACAATTGTGAATAAACTCGAACGGCGGTTCCATAAATAACGCAGTCAGCGTTTGTAGTTACTGCCAAGTTTTCCGTTCTATAGGTTTCCGGTTAAAGATTTTAAGGGGCGTTTTTTTTTGTTGAGGGGCGGGGATTGAGCGGGTATGGTGAAGCAGCCAAAAAAAAATAGTTTCTCGAGACGGGAGACTCTGCTTTTATTTTCGTTTTGGAACCACTGGTTTGGACGAGGGAAAGGAAAAGGCCCCAGACTGGCGAGCAATGACCGGGGCGATCTCTAGGCATCAGAAAGTTTCACAGATTCGCGGGTGGTAAACAGGGAAACGATTGAAATGATCTGAACGCGATTCTGTATGAAGCTGCCCTCCCTATGACCACAGTCATCAAACCGTTGTCCTCTTAATTTTATAACACAAAACTTGTTTCGTAGCCACGTGTAAATTCAAATCACTAATATAAGACACCTTGGCGTCTCTGAGTTTGAATAAATAACCCGAGATGTTATATAAACTGACAGTATTTCATGTGACCCAGAAATTCCACCGTAATATATTCGTGATTTGGTTTCTGTATCGAATTACTATTTGAGTTTACATATGATTTAAGATTATATATCTCAAACCATCAATATGAAATCTAATCATACGCATTATCATGATTTAAGTTCATAAATGATTCGAGAAACCTGATTTGAGAAGCCTGTGTTTCCTATGATGAATATGATTTGTGCTGAAATATATACAAACTCAGACCATGATATATGATGAGTTTAAATCTCAAATCATAAACTCACATCTTTAGATTATATCATTTGAGTTTATATATGTCATCACACATAAACTCAAATCGTATATAACTCAAATCTTATTTATAATTTAAGTTTATATATTTGTCATATAAATTCAATCATATTTGTAAACATAAATTGTGATTTGAGTTCTTTACGATTTGAGATATAGAAATGATTTGACTGTTTATATTATGATTTCAGTTTATATATGATTTGTGTTTTTAACAATTTGAGTTTATATATAATTAAGTTCATATTTATATATATAAATTTATATATATTTATGAAATATATAAATTTAATTCATGATTTGTTATATGATTCGAGTTTAGATATAACCAGATCACATAACTCAAATCATGTGATTTGACTTTACTTATATATCTCAAATCATATACCTAAATTGCAGGATTTGACTATATGATTTATATATAGAAAAGCTCTGGAATATGCTGAGCCAATTCTGTATGTCATGTCAATCGATTTATCACAAAGATAAAACAGGGATCGAATTCATCAGATGAACACGTTAGTCGTTTAAAAATGTTTGACAATAAGCAAGCGATAGTGGTTTTATTCCTTCCAATTCTAAAGGAAATGCAGCTGGTCAAATACCTGTCCACAAGGATTTCTATTTGACATTATCCTTACCCCCATCCCATCCAACCCATTCCAACCCCACTTTGCTACAACCAACCTAAAATAACAGTAACTTGGCTGAGCTTTCACAGGGTTCAACCTGGCAGAGGTTAGTCTGTTGGGGAGCTCAAAACGTGGAGCCACGTCTGCATACATGGGCCACGTTTTGCAAATGGGGTGACTTTGCGAGGCCGGAGACTTGCAAGTGAAGCGAGCTCACAAGGCGGGCAGCGATGCTCAAGCGTGTCTGGGGCGAGCTGTTTTCATAAGAGTTGCTTGTGCGTTTCCCCCCGCCTCCCGCACCCCCCCACCCCCCCACCCCCCCAAAACGCTGTGATTTCTCCAGAGAGAAAACATTATCTACAAATCGGTAGAATTAACACACACAAGAAAATGCCAATGATCACTTGCTACACACAGCAGTTACTAAACTTCCTGATTGTCCCCGTGGCTAAATCAAATTACAGGTCAAAACGATTGAGAGAAAAATCATTTAGCCCCACATTCAGCAATTTCTCGCCCCCACCACCAACAATGAAAAAGCCCAAAATTGCCTCTGCACCTCTGCCTCCCACACATTAACACACACACTTTCTTCCTTCTTACAAGTGCACACACACACACGCACACTCCAAAGTGTTGGCAGCAATGGTGACAGTGTTGTATTGTTGTAGCCCTGACCCAGAATAAACGATACACGTCAGGATGTAGCGAGTACAAGATAAACAACGGGGCATTTGATCGCTGTCACTATCGCCATCATCAGCGCTTTAATTTGGCTGCCTAATGAGTCAGATCACGGGGAGAGATAAAAATTGTCAATCGCCGTGGCTTTTAATGAATTTTTTCGCAAATTGTAATCAAGCACGAACGTCTCAGCCCAGTGATTAATGGGCCCCAGGAGAGATAGCTAGCAGCACCTCGCTTTTCATTACATCTCATACACGCTGCACTAAATTAACAGCAACTTGTCTGCGCTTAAAATTAAGTCCAAATGATTAATTTTGATGGGGAGGCTATAGACTAGCTCGTCCTAATAGTTACTGGCCCGCGCTGCTTCCTACAATGAACAGGGCTTCAGCACTGAATATTATTCCCTTCTCCTTGTGTAAGTTGCCTACTTACAACCGATAAATCGCCGGGGGGAGGGGTTATTTGTTAAAGTCAGAAAACTATTAATAATGACAACACTTCAGGAAGCACACTGTGACTGAACTCTCTTGTGTAGATGGGAGATAAATGAACATACATGGGGTATCTATATACAAATCCATTTCGAAGCTATCTTGCTCACATTTCCAATAGAAACCCACTCTCGCTTCTCTGAAAATACTTAATAATTTCACTCCCCCCTGGACAGCTGCTCTTTTTGGCAGGGATCGTGTCTGGTTGTAATGTCATGGATCACAGGGGTCATCGGCCAGTGGTTTTTTTTTGGAAGAAAAGGTTTCTTAATCGCCCTTTGTATCTAATGAGCTCATTACCTGGAACTTGGAGAGGGGCAATAATTAGAGAGTGGCTCTGATTAAACAGCATTCATCAACGCCCGTTTGGCGCAAAACAAAAACCGCACGCCCAGCCCACATGACAGAAAACGCCCAACTGCTGTGAAATTGTGGGCCAGGGCGAACTCAAAATCGAGTTTTTGAGCCATCTCCGATGTATTTATGTTGGGCGGCGGGTTCGGTGATCTTAGAAGTTTAACAATTTGCATAATCTTTAAGTGACAGAGAGAGGGAACAAAAAAAGAGAGTTTGAAGAAACGGTGGTGTGTAGTTAGAAGCTGCATGACAATGTCCAGGATTGATTGAAGTTAATAGGAGTATTCAACGCGGGGAAATGAGTAAAGAACCATTTGCCGAAAAGAAGCTTTGGCTTGTTTATAAAATAATTGATAGAGACACCTATTAATATGACTTTGACCAGATATGTAGGGTTATTTGGAATGGTCTTCCGGGTCTTGATGTACATGGCATATAGCTGGCAGCAGTCTGAAAGCAGACCTTTCCCATCTCCTCCCCTTTACCCGCCAACGGGCGATACTCCCAGATAGTCAAAAGGCTCCAGGAGCAGGAATTCAACTCTGCAATAATGTTAAGTGCAGGATGTGTGTCTTCTCTCCTTTCATCCCTGCCTCAGGAATTCATTCACACAGGCGCTCCCAAAACACATCAGTTCCTGACCAACTCAACGACACATCGGTTTATGTCTATTTTATAAACCTCGCTGAAACGAACCGAAATGTCACGGGAAACTTGTGATCTTTTGGAAGGGGGAAATGCACGTGTAGCAACATGGGCATTGGAAGTGTGGGGGCAGACATAAAGATGGGAGGATTCATTTCTCGAATTACAGCTTTTTGAACCTAGCGGCCGATCCTCATGATAGGATACAGTGCACGGTCGAGGTGCGCTTTCATTCAGATAACATGATATTTGCATTGGAAGTGGCCACGTTGTTCTGCGCGCAGGGGCTTACAGAAGTTGTCTGTCTCACTGCGACTTGGCATCAGCCGGGTGCCTTGCAAGGGAGCTTAATATATGTGCGGGTGATATTCACTGTTAAAATGAAGCGAGATAGAACCTAATAAAAACCTATTAGACAGATATTAATGGAGATCTGTTCTCCCACCTCGCGCTGATTGTGTCTTGAACTCACTGCACCAGCCTGAAATGATCGTAAAACTCCAGTGTGTCTCTACAGCGAGAGGTTTCATGCAAGAGGGAACCAGAACCAGACAGGCTAAACTTCACAGCTCATCAAGGTCTCGAAACACATGATTTGCTTATGTCAGGTTTTGTTTCTTTTTCCCCGAAGAAAAGGGTGTTAATTAAGGATTCTCTCCCCTCACCCAGTCACTGAGCGGTTCACACTGTAGAGTCGGGCATTTTAACA